TGGTTTTGAAATGTTTATACAGGTTTGAATAGCGTAAGCCATCAGAACTCAAATATGAAATAACAGAAGCCAAATTTTTAAATAATTTGGGTTTTTTCCCTTGAAATATTTTTTTTAACAAAAGAATTATAGAAAAGTAGTTGGAATGATGGGATATATAATGATCAAATACATGTTTGAAACCATCTTGACATGGAATTTGAAAATTCAAACTACCAACAAAAAAAAATTCCATTAACTAAGTTCTACAAAAGTTTAGTGGTGGGAAAAACCTCACTCAGGGGTGCCCCCTATCCACCCCCCAACATTATTTTCCAGCAAGCAAATTAAATTTCTTTCCTTCACTTGATTGATTGAGTATATTTTTTTTCATAACACTTCTACATAAACAGGTGGTTTGAATAAACAGTAGAAAGGGGATGTTAATTGATGGCAAGTAAAATGGTTTACTGCATATGATCTTAAGGTCACCACAGGAGGATTTAAGTTCTGTTGTCTTACCCCCCTGGGAAATTGGTCCTTGCCTCTATACCAACTGGGAAATAATCTTCACCGAAACAGCCTTTTTATTCAAATTCTCAACAAAGAAAGCAGAATTATAAGAGCCAAACTTAGCATATATATATGATCAACATACCACATACAGAATAGAACAATAAAAAGAAAACCAGTTTTAAAATGAATTTTTGCAAAATTAAGTCTCCAATAACATTCACAATGGCTGTAAAGATAACTCTCTGTTTCAAGCTATCATAAGTTAACAAACCAATTAAAGTAAAAACTTTGATCGATAAAGGATTGTATCTTGCAGAGGATTCAGTTTATTTAAGGTATTTCTGAGCCATGCATTGACTAGCTGTAATGTTCAATGTGGCAATTAACCAACAGTCATGTTTATGTGGGCAGGTTTGAGTAACAAAGCATTGATGATCAATCAGTAGGCAATTAGTTCAGCCAACCAGTTTGCTCTGTAGCTCTGGCTGCTTTCAAGTGGCTGTACTCTGTTTATTTACAATTATTCAATTAAGGGATATAAGTTTCTAGAGAAACTCTGGTGCTGCATCAGTAGGAGAGTACAACAGGGTAATTAAGTATAATTATCAATTGAGTTGATTATGCAAATTGGCCACCATACAGAGTTTCAAAGCTAATGTTTCAAGCATTAGCCTTTTGTCAGAGTGAATGGAGGAATTGTGGGTTGTGTGTGTTTTTATGAAGAAAATGGAGCTACACTATTGGTAGGAATATGATGACTCAAAAACAAGAATGAATTAGTTGAATAAAAAGTGCTGGTTGATACCATGGGGATTAAGAGTGCTGATTAGAAAGATAAATTTTAGTTCTAGAGTTTTGCACCTTTAAAGATTTAGTTGCCAACCATGCAAAGATCATCTGTGCTGTAGTTGCCACCAGTGCAACCCTAAGATCTTGTTGCCACCAATGCAATCTAAAGATATAGTTGCAACAATGCAATCTAAAGATCGAGTTGCCATCCCAGCCATCTAAAGATCTAGTTTTTAACCATGCAATCTAATATCCAGTTGCCGATGATGCAATCTTGAGATCTAGTTGCCAACCATGCAATCTAGTATCTAGTTGCCAATCATGCATATGCAAGTAACACTCTAGCCAAATTGTTGGAATGAAATTCTAACTGTAGGTAAATTGACCAGTTATCAGACTCATGAATATGGAGATCAGGACCATGTAATTAGGTGAAAAAGATGTCTTCTATCAAAAAGCATCATTGCTGATAGCAAAAAAACCAGAAGTATGAGGGATCAACATCTGATAGTCAGAAAAATAATGAGGATTGAAATGTACCAATGACAGCATGTCAAAACACACCAATAACAACAAACCAAGGTTCTAAATGACAACACTTAAACTTACAACCTCATTGCCTGACAAAGACTAGCAATAAATCAGTTGGAATGTCACGATCAAAACACGATTATTAGCCTGACTCTTACAAAGTGAGACAAACAATTAAATGTTCATTTGTAGATTCTAAATCACATCCAATATTTGAAAACTGGTTTAACTTAAAAAATTTAAGATTTATCAGCAGAATTTTATGACGTGGTACATTTGCCAAATGAAAAATAAACCCTCTAATAAAATCATAACATTCCCTCCTAAAGAGGAAAACAGAGATTTCTGTATAGCCTCTTACTATTCTGAAACATTGTCCTAGTCCCAAAAGCAATTTATTGTTTTAGCCATTGTTTTCAGTTCAGTAAGTTTCATTTGGATCATTCAGGATTCTGGATGCCAGAAGGATAAAAATTAAAAAGTCCTCATTTGCACTGATGAACATTCCATGGGTTGTTATTAGTTCTCCCAGGAAACATTGAAGCAGTGAACATTAGGTACATGCAACATTCTGTTGAAGAGACCATAAAATTGAAGTCTAGAAGTTTTTAATTGGAGAATGATTCCTTTTAAAATATGATTCAAATGGAGAATTCAGCCTTTCAGCTAGCTTGACTACTTTCTTACAGCTTCAAAATGTGATGCGAGGAAGTGAGACAGTGAGCGAATACCCTTTCGCACATTCATCATTACAATTACATGAAATTTCTACTTACATGCCTTATGAAACTCTCCATTGCAAAAAGATCCTCGATTACCTCTCAACAATCAGGTGAGAAAAGGTGTCTACCATCAAAAAGCATAATTGCCAATCAGCAACAAAGTGGACCTATGAAGGAACAACATCTAATAGTCGGACTACTAATAAGGATTGAAATGCAGCAATGACAGCACATCAAAACACACAAATAACAACAAACCAAGGTGCTATAACCTCATTGCCTGATAAGACTAGCAGTAATGCAGTTGAAATGTCACGATCAATACGCTATCATTAGCCTGACTCTTACATTGTGGGACAAATTATTAAACGTTCATTTATAGATTCTTAATCATATGAAATATTTGGAAACTGGTTTAACTAATAAAATTTAAGATTTATCAGCCGAATTTTATGACGTGGTACGTTTGCTAAATGAAACATAAACCCTCTCCTAAAATTTTAAAATTCTCTCTTAAAGAGGAAAACAGAGATTTCCGTATAAGCCCCGTACTATTCTGAAACATCCAAAGGCAAATTTATTGTTTTCTTTATCCAAGAGCTGTATGCATATGAAGTAGCCCTATGGAGCTTTACGGAATTTATCAGCTGACTGTTATGACTTGGTACCTTTGCCGACTGAACTACAAACCTATTAATCAAATCATAACATTCCCTCTGAGGAGAAAATTTTAGTCGATAAATTCCAAATTGCTGCAATTTAATTACCCGAGATGAAATTATCACTCGCTTTCTCTCCTGATATCAGAGAACATAAAAGCAACTCAAAATAACTAAATACTCCGACAACTTTCAATTGTGCTTCAACTGCGATTCGTTGTCGTATTTGTAGCATATTTCAAAGTAAATCAGAAAGCTTAGTACAGTCGAACCTCGATTATCCGGACTCGGTGGGACTAGGGTAAATAGTCCGGATAATCGAGAGTCCGGATAATCGAAAATATGAATATTAATGAGACAATTGAGTTATGATCGTCTCGTGTGTTTACATAACCCACACTCATCGAACTGATCAAGCATGACATTCCCTTAGCAACAAAACAATACTGAACCAATCAAAATTCAGCTGAAGGCATTAAAATAGTTCTTGTCTCTCTTTGTCTCCGAGCGCTCGATCTTTCGAAAGCGGAGCGTGTAATGCGCTGTTTTAAACACAATTTTCCTGACTTTTAACATAATTTCTGAATTTTTTTACCTACTAAAGTTTTTAACATCTAAGGTCATTAATATTCATGAAAAAAACGGGACCAGAGAAAAAGTCCGGATAATCGAAAAGTCCGGATAATCGAGGTTCGACTGTAGTGGAATTCTTCACTGATGTGTAAGTGTGACATTGATTGGATCGTAACTTACCTTACAACTCTTCCTTATATTACGCTTAGAAAACATCAAACACCTCTTACCTCAGCAGGGGAAACTACAGGCTATACAGGAGCGGGAGATAATAAAAAAAGACAGCCATAACCTTCGCCTAAACAGCAGATGAACTCTCCACTTAAGTCAAAACTCACTTCCGTCCTTCTTTGGCCCAACATGCATTGCCTGGCAGCTAAGCGTTCACTCCTTATATGTAAATAAACGAACCCGATCCAGTTGAACCCATGCTTGATGCACGTGACTTTGTTTTGGTCACGCTAGCTTAAAGCATGCGAAATTTCAGTCAATTCATTTTAGAATGATTCCGAGGCGAATTGACTGAAATATCAAAAAGGAAGAATAACCCAATATTTGGGACCACAATCATGAATATAGACCAAAATATTCATCAAACTGTTTCAGTGCAGACCTTAGTCTGAAGGCTTTCTAGTGCTAAATAGACAAATGAAATTTTATCACGGTTTATGGACTAGTTTGATTTTCCTTTGTTTTTACTACTATTTTCCTAGCCCCTACTCTTTTTACTTCTATGTCTTGTTTGTTCTGCGTCATTCGTGTATGAAACAGGTTCTTACAAAGAGGAGAGTTGACAGACAGAATTCAAGATGGTGGTTGTTAGACCTGTTACCTAGGTAACAAACAACAAGAAAAGACGTTTCGTTTTGATTTAAATTGACTGGCGGGTGGAAAAAGGTAACTCTTGGAGCTCAGAGAAAATCTTCGAAGTAAGGGCATGAGGCAACACTAGGGACCTGTTCAAACGATCTCTGATACTAAAGAACTCTCCCCCTCAAGACAGCTTTACAGAACGTTAATATGGAGTTGTAAGAGAAACAAAAACACACACACACACACACACACACACACACACACACACACACACACACACACACACACACACACACACACACACACACACACACACACACAAACAAAAACCCAGAAAACATGAAGACTCCATTTTATACATCTGTTTATTGGGTCTATTACAAATTACATATAAACTTTCTTGGTATTCGGTCATTAGTCATTCAGCTAGAAAGCCAACAGCCCTCTGTCCGGGTTTAGTTTTGGGCCCAGACTTCGCCTCGCCTTGTTTTGTCAGAGCTAGGTACCAGGCAGGATTTAATGTGGATTGGTAAGAATTGTACTTCGTTCCAAAAATCTCTTTGAAGACGCACTCCGGGTGAGTTGGACTATTCTGTTGAAAATAAAGATGAAGTTAGTGACGATGAGACAAGATCGAATACAAATAGGAGAAAATACCGAGCGATCAAGACTTGATGTTAATTTATAGTTGGGTAAGACTTACAGTCTCCTATCTCTTTATCGTCTGTCTAGGACGTAGCCCCTTTGAATGGCGAGAGATCGCGAATTTTTGACTGTATTTTTTGGCTGGATTCAAGGGGTCTCACCTACGACCCATGGTTTCTCCCTTTATTAGGATCAAAGACTCTGTTGCCACTTTTACAAGAAAACGTGCATACTCTTGAGATGTGAAAGTACAAACTGACTAAATCGTAACTGTTCCTCACAATGGCTGGGGCTTGATTGTCTGGAAGAAAATTGAATATTGTAGAACATAAAATTTTAAACAATCACCCGTCTGACTTACTGTACTGTACGACTCTCCCTTGGTGTTCATCGCGATGTAATTTCCTGGTGCGTTTCCTCTCACCGTCACTTCAGCAGTCTTAACCGATTCCATAGTGAGAGTAGCTACAAGATAGTAAAAATTACATGTGATTATTTCATCCTTCATTATTTCTTAGGATAACGCCTGGCTTTTTAAACGAAAGTTTGTTGTCTCATCCACGAGTTTCCACGTCATTCAGCGATTTCTTTCAGGTTTGACGTAGGTTTATGGCTTAAAGGAACCTGGAACACCCCCCCGCCCCCCCTTCTTTCTTCTAACACTCACAGTTGGCCGGCCAATATAATGCAACTTCAGTTTGAAACCGCTGGTACTGATAGGAAAACTAAGCTTACCGTGACGGTTATATGACACAGTTTACAGCAATGGTACAATCCACATCATGTCTTGCATCTCACGAATGTCGAGGGCATTTTCTTGTCCAAGGCAAGGCAAGATTACATTCGCAAGCGTTTTCGCCTTGATGATTGAATTTGTCAGGAAATATCTGCATTATCCGGCTAAAGTTCGTTTCCTAATTCCCCTGGGTACCAAAATGAAAGCACACCAAGCTTTTCCTTGTATCTTTGGCCCGTATTTTCCGGAGGTTTAAAGCTTGTATTTTACATAAAAACAAACTGTTAGTGGGGATTACTGAGGAAAATGGAGAGTAAACCTGGTATGAATGGACACATCTTTTGAGTGGTTGTGAAAATGGCTTTCAAGACATTTCTGTGTCACTTTGTCCATGGACATGAAACATGGGCTGATTACCTAACATATATGGAACAAGATGGCGCTAGGGGTGACCACCTCATTCTCTGCGCAGCAGCAAATTGCTTTGAAACTTGCATTCATGTGGTCAGCAGTCTACACGATGATGTAGTCATTAGGCCACATTCTTCTGTTGACGAAAGCAAACCTCTAGTACTGGGACATATTCATGAGGTACACTATGTCAGTGTTTAACCCATACAAGGTAAGAAGGAAAAAGCAAACATCACGCACTTTTCAACTGGAAAACGATGAAGATATCGATCAATTTTCATCCGTAGCGCAGTTCAAAAACCACATTTTTTTGCGTAAGGCACTAGCAGTGACGTAGGGAGCCACCGACGAACTGTCTCGTATTCTCGAATCACTGGGATGGTTAGTTAGTCGATTTTTTTAGACTTAACGGTGGGAAAGTACCAAACGCCCTGATTCCTTGCTGGCACGACACGCCAGCGTCTTCGGTAACGTTAAGTCTACTAATACCATCATTTTATATGTCGTGCAGAGTCATAAATTAAGCTACGAATTTCACCTTCTCTTTTTTTTCGTTTTGCATGTCACGATAGTATGAAGAAGTTACAACAGTGTTACTGAGGATTGATGTTTTCTTTTTCTTTTTTTTTGAAAAGATGGCAAATCGAAGAAAAGGTTTGAACACCAAATCAGATATTAAAATAGCTGTTTTATTTTTCATAATTACCAAGTAAGACTATTTTTAGGTCACGAAAATTCATTAGCAGTGAAGCAATGTTTTACACGGTTAAATTGAAAGGTGTCCGCTTATTACAACTCTCTTGTATCGAAACGACTTCATGTTCATCAGAAACAGGGAAGGTTTAGTGGTGAAAGGGCTTGCACCTCTCTGGTCCGGTTTATTTTCCTACACCTTGCGTCTTATGTGGACTGAGTTTGATTTCAGTACTTGTTTTTTTCCTGAGCCATTTTCTCTGAGTGTTTTGCCCAAGCTTCTGGGTTTCCTCCCTCCTAAACGGACATCCTCAATTCCAGTCACTAGATGTAGAATCATTTCTTTAATGTGCTTCTTTTAAATTCTTCTTTATTTACTTCGTATGTTTTCTACTTGCAGTGTTTTGATGTTTGTTTCACAAGCTAAAGGAACGATTTTCGGCAGGTATAGCTATAAGCCGACTAGACCTTCAAGAAGAATCACAAGGCAACCAGTAAAGAAAACTGCCAAATTTTTAGGATTTTTTTCTCACGTGACTATATATTTGGCTGAAAACGTAAGCTTTAGATTAAACATAGTTTTTTACATTTGTATGAGCTTTGTCATGATAAATTTCTATCGAGTTTTCGTGGTTTGGTAAGAATTTTTATATAAAACATTAAATTCTATTTTCGAAATGTCAATAAATATTTTGCCGAAAAAGAAACAACAAAGTATAGATGGTCTCTCTTCCCAAATTTCCAATATTTTCTTACTATTGGCCACCTTTGCCACTAAATACGTTATAATGCTCAATCCAAAAATTTTGGATTGAGATAAACACCGCATCCCTTGGAGTATATGTCAATATCGCTCCAATTTCAATTCTTACACCACTAAAAGTAAAATGTGTATCCAATTGTATCTCATTAGAATCCCAGAAATTAAAGATTAAAGTAATTAGATGCCCTCCCCTCTGTAAATAAATTTTTCCACTGTGATATTAAAGTTCTATGTTAGCTACCTGCTTCAGAAGTTAAGGTGACACTGTCAGGGAAAACAAACTTGCTCATAAAAGATCTCGGCTCACCTACCCAAGACGAGATTGCCAATCCTTCCCCTTGGTCTGCCATTTTGTTTGAGCTTGTAGTTCAGCCATTTGACCTTTAGCTTGAGATGAACTGGGGAAATTAAATGAATAACACAAAGGCTATACTTTTGCTCTGAAGAAGAGCCAACGCTTGAAACGTCACCTTCGAAGCCTTCTACGGTGGCCAGTTAACATTATCAACTCAGTTGATAAAACCAAATCATCTTGTTATACTCGATACCGACGCAGCACCACAGTTTCTTTCGAAACTTTCCCACTTTATTCATCTTTCTTAGTTTAATTGAGAGGTTTCACTTAAGAGGACTTTCGATTAAAGAGGAAAACGATACCAACAGGCTGTTTGGACTTTGCAAAGGATGACCACTACTGCTTCCTCGAGGACTTTGACAGCCGACCGCTTAATAAAAAGGTGACCGGTCAGAAAAGGTCGACTGTACTTGTGATTTAGCGTGGACACGACCGGAAATATGTGACTTTTCGCACAAGCTTGTAATGGAGCACCACAACCCCGAAGAGCCTGAATTCAGTGTGAAATACGGTGATTATCTTAGGAATTCTATCTGACAAGGAAATTACTCTGAAACTCTAAAATAGCTCACTTGAAACACTGATATCATCAAAAGCAGAAGATCTCCGTAATAAATAAACAAGTATTTAATGCCTTAATTTAAAATTGTGTAAATAAATAAATAATTGTTATTCTCGTAGGAAGAGAGCGTGACAGAAAGAAAGCAAAGGTAATAAAAAAATGTAACTCGCTGACGAAGGAAAAATTATGAAGAAATTAACGCATTGTTATTATCTAATGAGGAAAAACCATGATTGAAGGTACACAAAATGGATTAAAAAGTGTTGTCATTCTATCAAACAAGATGAAAACTACATGCGCGCTAAGTTAGTAGTAGTAGTAATCTTTAATGAGGATGCCAACGTTACGACGTGGTTTACAGGAGGGTGCTCAGAAGAATGCTAAGTTTAGATTAAGAACTAGTTCAACATACAAAAATGTAAAAGATTAAAAGAGTATATACAATCATCAAGCATTAAATATAACTAGTTAAAAATACAGGAATGCAAAAGGTAAAAAGAATATACAAAGAGTAAAAAGCAAAGAATTTCGTTAAGAATCAAAGATAACTTTGGAGAGCGAGGCCATGTTTAAAAGCAGGCAGTGACTCTGCATTCCTTAATAAGGTGTCTAACGCTAAAATTTGCTGACGACCAATGGCCCCATGTTCTTGTGGCACTAGATTTGCGAATGTCATTTCTCGATCTTGTGTAGTAACTATGAAAATCACCATTGAATGTGACAAGGATAGAGTGACTGAAATGGTTGTTAATATATTTAAACATAAAAATAGCATGATGTTCCTTTCTACGTCGCAATAATGGCTTCCAGCTTCAGCTGAAGAAAATTGCGCAGCAAGATCTAAAATGAGGCGAGCGGCCTTATTCTGTAACACTTGTAGCTCTGACATTAGGGAGGCATTTCCGCGATCTCCCCAAATGATATCCCCATAGTCAAAAAGAGGTAAAATGAAACTATTTAAAAAACATAATTCTTTAGAAGAAAAGCAGATCAGCTTAAAGTTAAGCAGGCTTTGTTTAACGATTAACAATGACCGTATATGGCTACTTTGGAACAATGGCGGAAACAGCTTTAAAATACACGCGGGATTTTTCAAAAATTTCGATTATCATACGAGCAGCAGATTTAAACCATCGGCAAAACTGATGATAAGACAAATCCTCCCCCTGGTAGATTTTTTAGGATGCAAATAGTCACGGTGGGGTGGATGGTAGGGCGACTGTAGCTTTGGTATCTGAAGTTAAGAGATGTCTCCGTTTTTTCCTTTATATTGCTTAAAACTGGCGAAAGATATATTCAATTAGAGGCTCACTGTGCGATGCAAAGGTAATGAGAGCATGTGTAACCTGGTATTAACGTCCGAAGTCTACCACGCCGTTGAATCATGTAGAAGACTATCGTCATTTGCTCGATTGTTTAATGTGCGTGTATTTAAATTTCGCGCTGAGTGAATGAGATTTTGTTCCTGATCTGCACAAGATGGTTCACATTCTCCTTCCTCTAGCGTGTGATTTAAACCTAGTAATGACGTCCGAAGCCTCGCGCGTAGTTAATTCATGTAGTTTCATGGGTATCATTCTCTTCCCGTTTTTCAATTCAACGAAAGGAGTTAAAAAAGCAATGGCGAGTGGAAATAGTCGCATACGCTCGTCAATTTCTCCCATTCGACTCGACTGTTCAATCCAAGTATATTTAAATTTCGCGCTTCGTAAGCAAGAAAAACTGAATAATCTCCTCCCACAATTTTTTTGTGTTTACACAAACCGACATCTAGTTGATACCTATTCATCCTTTTGTGTGATAGCAGTAGGTGAGATTTTTTTCGCAAAAAACCAAAGGAACAAAGAAAAAATGATAACAAACGCGCTCTGCGAAAACCTAGAAAAACTTGCTTTTAGCAGTATTTCATTCTAAAAACATTTGTAGAATTCAGTTTTGACAGCTTTTAGAAAAGTCTTTTATGAGCAAGATCTGCTTTTCCTTTTTTAAACGTAGAACGGTCACTCCAACTTCAAGCAGTCTCAAAGTACTGAAATGAATGACAATAACAACGCTTTGTTCAACAAACGTTTCTAGATTTATTCTCGCTTCATCAACTATGGTTTGGTTACATCAACATAAGATAAGGGCAGCCTTACATTAGGGATTTGGTTGACTAAGCATTGCGACAATCCTATAATGTTCTCAAAGTTTAAGGTTACGTCCGTGTCCAGCGCATATACATCGCACTTACCACTTATTGAAGTGTACGAAGCTGAAATCAGGAGACCGAGAAGCGAAAATGAGTTTTTAAGATATCAGAACAACTCGTTGGTCGTCCAGCTAAATGTCGCCCTTTCCCAAGAACGCAAAAAGGCATCGTTTAATGCCTCGCAAAAGCGATTCTTCGAGTTGACAAAGGCAGCCAGAAACAACAAAAAGAGGAGGATAAAAAACCTTGTGGTACAATCGCTAAAATTCTGTGCTTTTGTGAAACAGGAATCTTCTTGTTAGGTAGACTTGTTGGTTCCAGAAAGTGAGCGCCTCATTAGAAAACAGCTGTGCGCCAGCGCCTGCTCTCTGCGAGAATTTGGAGAAGCTGTCGACAGCTCCTTACTTTTAACAAAGATTGTTAAAATCCGCTGTAAAACTCTGGTAGCTTTTACTGAGAGAGACTTACTTTTAAGCAGGACCTGCTTTTTTTTGCAAAAGATAGATAAAAAAAAAACTCGCACCTTCTTCATTGTGAAACTTGTGAGTGAAAAAACATCACACCCTCATCTTGCCACGCGTTTGATTGAAAACGAAAATAACTCAAATGCATGTTCTCGCAAAAACTGGAAATCATTGCTTTGATCAGTATATCTTGTATCATCAACATAGTTACACGAATTTGGCGCTTTTGCCAGGAAGGATCCTCGTGTTAGGTAAACATGTTGGTTCTAAAAATGATAAGCGCCTCGTTTGAAAACAGCTGTGCGCCAGAAACAAGGTCTTTAATCGCCTCGAGGCTCTCCACAGAAAACCTTCACTTTCGATGGTATTTAACACCAGTAGTAAGACCAAAAGATATATTTGTACGTGACTTTTTACCAGGTGACTTGACTTACATATAGAGAGAGGTGGTTTAAATGAGTCACTGCAATACGGATAAATTTAGTTATTTTTGAATTTGCAAACCTTTGGCTCGATGCGCTAAACGAGGGTCAAGTCTACCCTTGGGTACACCGATGGAGATTGATTTTACTAATGCATATTTACACTACCCACTCCCCCAGTGCAGCAAAATTGTCACTCCGATAATTTTCTCGATCAGTTACGAGCTTTTCCGCCTCCCTTCGGCCAAAATCCCTCAGGACTATCAGTTACTCAGGACTTTGTTTGATGCTTAATGGAAAAGTTGACCTGGAACAATGGGCCATTTCTTGATACGAGCATTGAGGGGGAGACCTAACTTTTTACTGATCTTACCACGAATATAATTTCTGTGGTCAGTCCAGGAAAACCGGTTATTAATCACAATACCCAAGTACGTATACGAATCTATATTATCGAGAGGGATATAATCAGCAGAAATAAGGATGGACCCAACTTTGCTTAAGAGGGAACTACTACCAATAAGTAAAAATTTGGATTTTTTAACATTCAGTGTAAGTTGGTTAGCCCGAAGCCATTTACATGTACGTCTTAAGTCAGCATTAATCTATTTACGGTAACAAAAGTTACTTGTTATTAAGTGAGTGACCGGCCACACTGCGCATCGAGCTGCAGTAGTCCTAAGACGTACAACTTAAAAAAGGTGCAACAAAAAGTAGGTAAGCTACATTTGAACAGTTGTGGAGAAGATGTTCATTCGTCTTGTCTCGAGCGTTGGACAAAAGTAAAAAAATTAACATTCCCCATAGGAATCAAATGTCAAACCTTTTGAGTTCTCGCTCCGATGCTTTACCACTGGGCCACAGAGACCCCACGATGAGTTACGCTATTATAAGGAACATGGTTGACACGCGTCTTGCATACAGCTAAGATAAGCAACGTCGAAAGCGTCATTTGAGTATAAGAACGAGACGAGACGGAAAAACATCTTCCTAAATCACTTTGCCATGCATAAAATTAACCATCTTTCTTATTTGATAGATTATTAGAAGATGTTTGTCAACATCTTCGCTCTTTTCTAGAAAGAGCGATAAGCCGCCCTAATCCATGGCGAGTTCAGAAAAATCCAATGCCCCATTTGCCTTGTCTAGGACGGCGAATTTTGGTGCACTAGCTTATATAATAGGCGCCATTGTAATTTCTGAGGTTTACTCCACAGCGGTGGCCAGAGATCGCCACCATGTGCCGCTATGGAACGCGCGCGTCGGACCACATCGTGATCGCAATCGCTCTGACATTATGATTTGTATAAATTTTGGACAGAGAAGCCAGTTTGGATAAATCTTTCATAATTCCGTTTTTTTTTGTTTTTAAACGAGAAACTACACTGTACGAGTATTAGCCATGTTTGAAAGTTTTGTTACCGTAAATAAGCTTATGACAATCTTAGAGCTTGAAAACCTTAAAAAAGTCGGTAAGTCCATTTTCTAGATAAGACGAAGATATGTTTAAAAATCTAGTACAGCTCCTGAATTTTAGCCCCCAAAAGTGAAGAAAAAAAAATAAATACAACCTTGAGACTGAAGAGTATAGGTTGAATAACAGCTCAAAAGTAAACGCCTATCTCATGTACCATTTCCACAGACTGAAGGAGTAAAGGACACCACTTAATCAAACAGTTATGACATAGCTCCAAGGAACATTTGATTTATCTTCGAAAACATAACCAAACAATCCCATTCCAGTTTCGTTAAAGCCAGTTTGAACTGAGTACTACCGAATTTCCTCCTGTAGGCGTTTCATGGTCGAGAAAGGAAAGTACAATGTAGGCGAATACAGACAACAAAAGGAAAATATTGATATGTTCTTATATTTTTATATTACTGACTTTCATAATCTATTTATCTTTTCTAACATACAGAACGGTACAGAACTGTGATACTCTACAAATACTATATTTTGGTGCTTGTCTTTACACATGTAAATGAAGACAAAGGTTGATTAAATTTTTAGTTCATAATGAATGAATTCATGATCGTAAATTTTTATTTAAATCCTTTAATGGATCTAACTAAAAGTATGCGTTGGATACTTAGCAGCTTTCTACTCAGTCTCGAACTTCGTTGTCAAACATCTCCGATTTCGAAAAAAGGGGATTTTGCTAGGAAGATCTGATATGGGTGGCAGATCCTTGCTAAACTGATAATATATCGCATCTCTGGAACACAAAGCTAGTGGAATCGCATTTAAAAATGCCACCAAGACAATTCTATTCCACTGCCTTCGCTAAATAGCCATAACTAGTATGTTCAGATAACGTGGTTCAATTTCAAGAGACACACTTGAGAAAAAAACCACTCAATCACCAGTGGAACTAAGGTCTAAATAGCAAACGACATAACCAAATTTGAAAAGGAATTGCTTTCTAACTAAATAAATTGAGTACCTAACAACTAGCCGTTAACAGAGTATTGTGGCAGTAGACTTAAACATCATACTCATGATAGCATTGTCTGCCATCAAGTCTCTCACGGTGAGAAGTTTGAAAGCTTCCCCAAGGAGCTGGGGTTCTTTTCCAAGGCTGATAGCAAAAGTAATCGTGAACACACAACGGCGACACCAAAGCACAATGGCACCAATAAAACATAAGAATATCCTGCATGAGTCATGTTCCATAATTGCTGAACATAAATTCGTGAAACAACTGAGAGGAGAAAAAATTGCAAGTCGTAATTTGCAATTAGTAATTCATGGCTTTTAGAGAAATTTTCAATTGGCCGGCGTAAACCAAAAACCAAAGTAATTACAACAGCCAATAATAACGAAGTACTGCATCGTTATTAGCCAATGAGGTTTGAAAAGAAATACATGCAAAGTACTAGACTGAGGGAAAACGACTAGTAACGATCCTTTTTTGTTTGGCGTCTGATTTGTTTCGCACATTGTGCAAGTTTCTAGACCAATCACAGACCGAAGTAAAGGAAACCAAAGCAGTACGGGATTACTTTTTACACTCAGTTAAGGATTACTCTATATCAAAATTTCAATCAAACCACGAAAACTCGATAACAATTCAGTGACTTAAGCTATCCAAACCATAAAACCTGTGACCTCTGAAAAGCTAGGTTTCATCTAAAGCTTTCTTTTCAGCTTAAAATAAAGTTTCGTGAGAGAAGTTCTAAAATTTCGCATTTTTTTCTGGTTGCGTTCTATTTCTTCGTTCAAGTCTTCCTGGTTTGTAGCCATAACTGCCTTAACACTTTTCTTTAGCCTGTAAATGAAACAAGAAAACAAACCAAAATTAATGAACAAAAATTTCACATTTCCCAGGATATGGTTCTCCGCAAAGTGATTGGAATTCGGAATGTTAATTTATTGAGAAAAAAAACAGGGAGAACCTGAAGAAAAAACGCGGAGAGAAAAGGCGCCGATCAACAACAAAATCAGCCGACATGAAAAGCAAGGTCGTGGATATAACCCGGCCAAAATAGTGGGAAGCAAGTGTTCTCACAACAGTACCACCCTGGTCCCCGGGTAAATTGAGCAGCTGTAATTTGTGAATACCTCTGACTTAAACTTGTATGCTTTACAATGTTCTCCTAACAAGCGACTTTTGTTCAAGTACAAATAGCATATCTTAATATAACTTAACAACCAGATAAATGTATACATAACTCGCTTTACAGACTTGTTATTCAGTTACCATCTTTCCAAAAAGGCTGTAAAAGATCTCCAATTAAAACTCGTGTAATTTCTAAAAACCACCGCGGAATATAAAAGAAGAAAACAAAAAAATGAAGGTATAGTTTGGAACTTATTTCATGATTATGAACGACTCGTGAAACGATAGCTATGGTCCATTTCAAGTCACTAAAGACACTTGTGTGTTTTTCCAGCAGGAAAGAGGAAAGTTCAGTTCATTCTCACGGTTATCGCTGAGAAAGATCAACTCACTAAACATCGTAGTGATTCGAGAAGAGTTAACAGTTCGAGGGTTAACCCTTCGACGGAGCTAGTGCTTTCCGCAGGAAAGATAAGGCTATCGAATTTTCCTACGGATGTTAATTAATCTTCATTATTATCAAGTTGAAAAGCACGTGACGTGTGCTTTTCCCTTCTTACCTTGTATGGGTTGAAGACTGACATAGTGTACCTCATGAATATGTCCCAGTACTAGTGGCTTGCTTTCGTCCACAGGACAATGTGGCCTGATGACTACATCATTATGTAGACTGCTGACCACATGAATGCATGTTTTAAAGCAATTCGCAGCTGCACAGAGAATGAGGTGATCACCCCAAGCGCCATCTTGTTTCATATATGTCAGGTAATCAGCCCATGTTTCATGGCCATGGACAAAGTGACACAGATCTGTTCCATCCGGCTGTAAAAAGAGACAGTGAGAAGAGACAGCAATTAAGACTTGAATTTCAAATAGCTTTTGAACAGAGCAGAGCACAATTCAAGGGAAACTCCACAAAAAAATTTAACTTCTTTACATTGGAAAGGTTAGTGATAACATTTGAACGCGGTGGGCAAACAGCAAAAGCTAAAGCAAACATCATTTGAGTATCACACTACAGGAATCTAAATGGGCAGCAGCAGTTGCGTCTCCACATGATCATGAACCCATTCGGTAACAGACAGACTCGCTATGAACCTATTGCAATTAAATGTTTAGCCGTTCATAGGTACCATCACACTTCTAAGAAATGAGAATTTAAACCAATGCGACCATGCGGGTAAAATGTCAACTAAGTCCTTAAATAGAGAAAACCAAAACATTCAGAGTAAGAAAAATATAGTTTAGAATGGTAAGGTTTTCAAAAAACATGATCGTCCTATTCAGAACCGAGCTAAACTGACGGTGTTCATTGATTCTGAAATGATTCTGAAAGGTGACTCTCTGAAGGTATCTGTTGTGAAAGGGACTAGTGTCCCAGCAAGGACGAGTAGCACTTCATGTAACGGATAGAGAAATAAACACAGTAGCCAAAACTACTGATCAACCTTAAAAAAATTTTTTTAAAGAGAATTGCTACATCTCACCAGTTTTGGGTTTTCCCTGAGGTACTGAACTAGAGATTGTCTCAACTGGCCATGTTGGATTTTGATTCCTTTGACGGTTTCTAGTTGTTCTGACAAGGCATGGAACATGCAGTTTCCTGACCCTTGATTGTCAGAAATTCTGAAGCCCCTATCTGATACTATCGTCGTTAACTCCTTTCTCAAGGCAGTGTGGTTGTTTACCGTGCTTGCGCAGAGTTGCATCCGCTGGAGATTCTGGATGGTTCGCTCAAGCAACCCTAGAAGCAAAATAACTTTAGGTGTAATTCCTTAAATCATACAATGTAGATGGAAGCGAAGATCTCAACTATCGGATAGAAAAAAAATCTATCACATTTAAAACCGAAGTTTCGGTCTATCGTAACTATTTTTAAACTTGCTGGGAACTCCTCCTGTATCGCCACTGCAAGCTGCTTGAAACTTCTATATGATCCGAATCGGCCCCGATCTCACTACTAGTTAATAGATAATTACTGAGGTTCGCAGCATTATACCCAATAATGCTGCGAACCTCAGTAATTAACTATTATAATTATTGACCCTCATAAAATCCTATTGTTCTCTCTCTGCATTACATCGACGATTTCAGTCGCCCCTTCATATTGATGTTTTGGTACACCAACAATGCAACTGAAATCGCCGATATAATGCTGAGAGAGAACAATAGGATTTTATGAGGGTCAGTAATTATTAGGGTAATATCCGCCCAAGTCAGGGCTGAGAGGGACACTTATCCAGTCGGGTACTCTAATTTAATTTTTATGGAAGGCCCTACCTTCGAATGAACGAGACCTTTCCTTATTAGGAAGATCATGTATGGGAAAATATTTCATGAGGACACAAATTGATCCAAACTCTTCACTTACAGGAACAGGCTCTTCTTTCAGGATAAACAAACACTTTCTTCTGATTCGAGAACGAGAAACAATATTGGAGTAAAAGGTCGCAGGTAATATCCTAGACTTGCCGGTTAACGTTCTACATAGCTACTTTTTTTTTCTTTTTTCATAAAAAAAATATTATGTTGCAGCGAAAGCAATAATTGCTTGTGAATAACCGGAGCAGATGACTTTTAACCTGAGATTTTTACACAATATGATATATGCCCCGCTAAAACATTAACATTTTGGAATACACTCATATCAAGAACGATAATTAAACTTGGGATGAATAAAAGTGGTTTTAGACATTTCTTTTTCTTTTTCCTATCTCTCTCTTATCAGCACGTACAGATCATTTCCTTTTTGGCGAAAATTGGTGATATACACAAACTTATAAAAATCTCTTTCATACTATGTTTTTTAGAAACCTCTTTTCGAGGTACAAAATGTATTCACATCAAGGACAGAATAAATTTGGGATACCACAAGAAAAGACAAGTCTAAGGAAAGAAACATAAAAATCATCAACATACCTGCGCCATGAACTTTGACCCACATCTTATCAACAAGAAGGTCACACTGTTTCTCCCAGCTGAACTGCCCTTCATATGATGTCCTCAGTCGTTCAATCTCTTTAAGACGCTGTGATCTCTCCTTCTTACGGACAACAGCAATTGCCTCAGCCCACACCTTGGGGTCCTCAGAATCGACCACAAATGATTTGCCGGCTGGCACAGTGCGCAGTGCGTCTCCGAAACCCGAGTTTCCACTAACAAGAATGGGAAGACCAGCTGACAAGGCTTCCAACGCAGTTAAGCCGAACCCCTCCGTCCGGGATGGCATGATACAGAGATTAACTTCACAAAAACAATCTTTCAATTTCTGCTTACTTTGCAAAAACGTTCTCACTGTCAGCTGACGTTTGGAAATACCATTCTGCAGCAAAGTTTCCGTAACTGCCTCCTGTTTTCCATCAGGTGCACCCACAAAGATCAGATGGTAGGAGTTGTCTGTCAGTTCAGCTACTGCTTTAGCAGCGATATCATACCCTTTCAGACCGAAGTCCTCAGGGTCACCACGACCAAAGGTCAACACCCTAAACTTTTCAGAGTCAACTGAGGCATGATTTAGAGTTGAAAACTCCTTGAATATGCCAGGAGTGAGCGACATGATATCTTGCTGCTTCTCACATGATTGAAGATAGGCAGAGTAGGCCTCAGTCAACTTGGGTCCTACTGCTACAACTAGATTTGCCAATTTACACAAATCTACTTCGGCTGTAGTCTTCTCTTCTCCTCTGGCAATGGCTCTCGGATAGTTTTTGAACATTCCGAGCTCTTCAGGCGCAGTATGCACTACTTGTACCCACTGGCAATTATGGTACTCCCTAATGATTTGGGCTTGCTTACCTAACTTGGCTCCATGACCCAGGACCACGTCAATTATCAGGTTTTTCGGAGGGAAGCTCAACCAGTCAAGAGGGTCGTAGCCTGGACGTCTCTCTGCTTCTTTGATGACAATCTTGTGACTCTCTGCATCTCTCTTCTCTTCTTCAGAACAAGCAGATTGTGGCACTAAGAGAGTGACTTCTACCTCACTACGTTTGGCCATAAGGATGGCAAGGTGTCTGTTGATGGTGGACAAACCCCCCTTTGACGAATACCACTCATTGGCCAGTAGAGTAACTTTCAAAGTTTTGTCGCACTTTGCTGGGTGACCACGCACTGATGCAACTTGTGAGGTTCTTATTTCTGACGGAGCCAAGCCCTTTTGGATAATTACATAAAAACATTATTATAAAGGAAAAGCATATCATTTTCCAAGTAAGGTATATAAAACAGTTTTCACAAAAAAACGTACTTCTGTTAGAGAAAAATATTCTTTTTTCCCATCAAGAAATTATAAACCAGACCGAAGGAAACGAACTGGTTGAACGCGTTCATACATATCTTGAATCAACCAAAAAGGTAATTACGCAATTGCAAACATACAATCTCATACAGTATATCCATTGCTGAATTGCTTTAGGAGCTCGATGAAGCAAGATCCTTCTATGACACCATTAGATCTCAATCTGTTACAAGATTTTCTAAATTGGGTATTCCGATTCATACGACTGACATCGCACAATGAGATTCCATCACAGCTATCAAAAGCTCTTCTTAATTGGTTTCCGTTACTACTTACGAACGAAGACATACAAAGAATGCTTTATACCTGGTTCAACAACCATTTCTCTTGTCCAGGAACTGTAAGTACTTCATTAGACATGCTTTCCATACAGATCAAATCCTGTCCTTGCCTTAATTCAAGCAGGTGTAAGCAGTCTTCTTCTCCACAGGACACTTGGTTGTGGTTTACGCACTTGCGACCGCTTTGCTGACAGTAGGGGCATTCAACACAAAACTCATGCTGCATCCTGCTCAGGTATGGGAACTCCTGCGACATCTTTTCTAAAGTGCTCTCCATAAACAATCGCACACTTCTAGCAACTTCTACCAAAGTTGAATTAGAAACTGCAACTACGTTCTTCTTAATTCTTTGTCTCAAGAGGATTTTTATGAACTTCTTTTTGCAAATCATAATCATGTCATGTATGACGCGTTCTTTAAGAATGAACCATGCACCATTCTGGTAGAGTTTTGGAGGCTGTGACGATCCATTTGCACCACACCAAGCAACCGATTTTGAAACAAGGCGAGTAAAAAAACCATGCGGGACAAAGCCTTCTTGGAAATGAAGATACAAAGGACAAGGATCCATAGATGATGGCTCCATTTTACAAAGCTCTTCAGGTGAGGACCTCAGTTGACATGGCACAAAGTAATTAACGTCAGCCGGGGATGGTGAGTATTTGGCAATCAAACCAAACTGCTCCATCATGTCCAAGATGTCTTCCTTGATAACGCCTTGCTGAATAGGAGGGGAAAAAACGTGATCAACAAGCTCCATCTTAAGGACACCACTTGTCTCGAGTTCCAGCCAGTACTTGGAATGCACAGGATCCTGAAACCACAAATTCCCTATTTAAAATAAGTTCAATCTACCAATTTTTCTTTAAAATGCCCCATTTAATTTGCAGCGGACCAAAAACATCTCTCCTTTCCTCATTACTAAGGGTACAATGAGTGGTAAAATGTAGTTGGCAAGCCTCCCGAAATGAGTCAACATAATAAGAAAAATCTTGTTATTCATCTTTAATTAGTTTATTGAATTTCCCCCTTACCTCCCCACCCTCAAACGATGTCGTAATAAATTAGTGACCATTTTGTCAATATTGAAATGAGGGAGAGTGGGAGACACATGAAAGTTATGGAGAAAACTCAAAATGTTGTAAGGGGTGTAAACAACATGAAAAAAAAAACGAATAAACAGTCAATTAACTTAACATTTTTTCGTCAAGCGCAAGTTGCCTACGATCTGTAATCATCTCGATGCATAGAAGATTATCTTTTCCTACCGTTTTTTTGAATGCTGGAATGGTTATAAGCTTCTTGAATAGACTGATCAACCACTGTGCCTTCAGAATGACTGTACTGCGGTGTTTCACAATCAAACCTAAGTCGTGATAGAAATTCAACATGGTGTGAAATTGTTCATCGTCTTCTATAAAACATACATCCTTGGCATAGGTTTGAAGATGGACAGTATTTGAGTGGTATACATTCTCAGCTACCAAAGCTTCAATGACCTTTTCGAAGTTAAACCATCTAGAAATATAAAAAATTTATAATTAGTCTAACTTACAGAAAGGTATACATCAGATAGCAAATTGCATGTACCAAAGTTTGCAAATTTCTAAATGTAACTTTAGAATGTGGCTTAATAGCCGGTTGAGCATCTTTTGAGCATACATTACATCCACAAGTAATGGTAGCATGTTGTTAAGCACTGAAAAATTCGTCTTCTTGAAAGCGCTTTACGCCTGTTTCCCTACTCGTCGAGTTTGCTACATGTTCGCTTCTAACATGCCCAATTCGCTGCCTCTGTTAATTCACAGTTTTAATTTCTCTTTTAACCATAAACCACAAGCAATATCTGTAATTTATACTCCCAACTGCGTGATTGCCCTTTTTAGGAGTCAGTTAAACTGATCATATGCAAATTTCCTTCTGGTGTGCTTTAAACCGCTACTTTGATTTTTTGGATTGTTACGAGGTTACGTTTCACAAGTAAACCTGATTGTAGGGTGGAACGAATCGGCAAAGTCAACAAAATTGTAAGCGTTTTTCATAGAAATGTTCCACAGTGAAAATATGTCATCAATAAATCTCTTCCAGACCAAAGAGGGACTTAGTTAGAGGGACTAGCCATTAACAGTCGTTTTTCTAGGTTTGCCATAAAATGGCAGAGAAAGCAACTGCTGTCTTAGTTCCCATGGCGATGTCATGTGTTTGTATGAAGAATCTTTCGTTGAACTTGAAAGAATTTTCTTCAAGTATGAGCCGCAAAAGTTTCCGTAAATCATCTGTGGGAATTGGTAAATTATGCTCATAACGTGATCATAATTTATTGTGGTAGAATGAAGTAAGTAGCGAATTCGGCATGTAAGTAACGAACATGTAGCGAACTTGAACGTAGCGAACTCCACAAGTAACGAAACCAGCTATGAAAGCCACTCGTAGGTTTGAGTACAGCTGTTGTTAGAAAAAAATGAGCTGAACATCTCTTTGTGCTTATATCATTACACATCATACTCTACCTCATTGGTATCTTCTCTCCCATATAAGGTTCCTGTCGAAGTACTTCCAGGATTCTCGCTCGAAGAGCATGAATTCCATCGGCATTAGTGCCATCATTGCCTCCTTCTTGACCTTTCAGTTATAAATTATGTAAAACAATTAGTGCTGTTGAGAGAAGCCAGGGAGGAACAGAGATTTCTCCTCGGACTTTCGATACGAGTTTGATGGCAACTAAGACCATGATCCCCTATTTCGTATTCGGAAAGGTCTATTTCTGCTGCAGCACTCTAAGTCACTTCTTCGCGATGTATTATAAATTTCACACTTATTTGGTCTGCAAAAACACTCGTTAAGGTATTTACATATACAATCCAGGTTAACACAAGAAAAAAGGGAAAAAAGAGAAAATACATACGAAAAAAAAATTTCAGGAATAACGGGAGCACCAACAAGGTGCCAACATCAAAAGTAGATAAGTACCAAGATAGGGACAAAAGGATACTAGGAATTAGACGTGGAAAAGCAACCGGTAAAATCTCCAGTGAATCCAATCAACTTTATCTAACGATGATTTTGTCTGTCCTCGATAGAAATAAAATTAAACCCAACCTCATTAACCGATAAACACGTCATTAACCATCATGTTGAACCCAAACACATGATTTACCTGTTTGACGATTCCTTCGAAATTTAAAGAAATTCCGGAATTTCCATGCGAATGATTTGTGTCCTTGAGTGTTATCAATGTAGAAGAATGGTCGGATCACATGTTTTCCATATTCCTTACTGGAAATCTCACGAAGTATCTTGGATGAAACATCCTTCCTATCTTCATATGGCTTGTCAGCATGGGTGCCGACGATGAACACTGGAGGTCGGAGATAGGACAGCACGTTAGGCGTTTCAACCATTTCTTCTCCTGTTGGTGTCATATTATGAACTGTCGCGAGCCACGACAGCAAATTCTCCAAATTGGTCTCCTTGTTCGGGTTCTCCAAAGTTACTTCATGAGTTCCCTGTCTTACACATGGCTGAGCTTGGGCATTCAGTGGCTTGCTAAGGTTGTGAACTACGATGTACACAGCTCTTGACGAAAGAAATACCGGGTGAGCAGCATAGTACACATGTTGACCCGCAAAATCCCACACATCTGCGGTTATCGTGGATCCTTTCTTGCTGTTTGCACTATCAGCATCCACACCTTTCAGGACCATGTCCTTTAAGAGTTCATCAGCATGTATTTTAACGGCACATGCATTAGGAAGTGCGGTGGCATTGATAGCAATTTTGGGCTTTGTGCTTAGATTATCTCCTTCGCGATTTTCGCCTAATGGCCTGGATTTGTCGGGACACTTAGTGGCCAAATCCTCGTACACGGAAACCTAACATTTTGAAATAAGGCGAAATATCAATACTGTGGATACCAAATTCCGATAGAAATTACATTGTTGATGCATTCCCATTCACACAGCCGATGTCGATATCTATTTCATTATGTTAAAACACTCAAATGAGTATTTAATGTGTAAATCTGTTTGAGATCATTCATAACAAATCGGGTTTCACAGTTAAAACATAGTTAACGGACCTGATCGGCAACAACATGTTTTGCGTGCAATTCCCCTCCTGACTCCACGCTACGTTCTTCCTTAGGTAATGCCCCCACTGATTTCATTTCCGAGTCTTCCATCTCATCACGAACAATCATGTGATATCTTTCTCTCGCTAACAATTTTGCTACAAATGTTGTATATTCCAAACTTTCAGACAAACTTGACTCGTTCGCACAATTAGGAGTCCAGTTCTGGATTTGCTTCACTTCAATTTCAAACTTTGACGGCTCAATTTCGACTCCGTCCGTACTCTGTTCCTGGTAGTCAAATGGCAGACCTAGGAGAGTCTTCTTTAAACTTGTTTTACCGGCACGATCCTGGCCAACCAAAACTATGCGACCACGATAAACATTCACAAATCCATCTTTAAGGGCCTCCTCATAAACCAGTCTTGCGGAACCTCCTTGCGCCAAAATTTCGGAAGGAGCTACAGCTGCAAGTGAGAGAAAAGGAAAATTTAATATTGCACTAATTGCCTATTGTAGAACAGTAAAGTGAGAATCAAAGAACATTTCTACAATACATCACGACCTTGTGAAAAGTGATACGTGAAACACGAGGAGCACATTACTGAAGAAAACTTCCATGAAAGTCATATCAACTGCCACAAGATTAAAGGTTTTTGATAGAAGAGAAAATTACTTTTTCAAAATTTCAGTTAAATCTGTCACATGAAACTTCCTCACCATTTTCTTGTTGTAAAATAAGGATGAAATTTTCCATCTTTCTTGCATAATCAGCCTTCAAGCCAGATTCTATTGTACCATTTTTAGCTTGAAATGGCTGCAAAAAGGTTTTTAAAGTTTTACAGTACACAAACACTGCATTCAACAAAAAAACCAGCCTGCTTCCAACGGTTAAGCCTGCTTCAAGTGCAGAACCAGAGGCTCTAGAGCCACAACGATTGCTTGGAAAATTTGAATTAAACACTCCCACAAACTCTCTTGAAATAACAAAGGGATTATCAGGCGAAGCTTGCAACGATACAAATTAGCATCAATCGGTGATCATAATAACTAAAAGAGTAAGTGAAGGTTACATTTCTAAGTGGACAATCGACTCTCGTTGTACGGACACATCACCATTACGGACACCCCCAGCACCAGACCCCCTGCGAAACGCATGAAGAAATGACTGAAATGTTCTCCCGTTATTACGAACTCTCGCTATTACGGAAATTTGGACACTTTCATGCCCCCCAGCGCAACATTTCACCTGTTTTTTCTTCCGCCAGAACGGACACTGTCCAAAATTCTGACTCATAATATAAAGCGACATTACAATGAAGGAAAACAAAGAAACGAGTCTTCAATTGGATGCAAACACGAGGTTTTCCTGCTCACGGCCAGATCTTTTTCTGGTTCGTAACGGGAGTCGACCGTATACGCCAATTTGGATCTGTACGCGACAACGGAAAGACAGGCTTGACCTCCTTGAAGCTCTAATCTTTACAGAGAAATTCCTTCAAAAACTCTAAATTGAGATAAAAATCACCACAGCGCTAAAGACACACAATCCTTACTCCAAGATAACATTGTGCTCGAGTATGCAAAAGATTTATTACCATACTTATATGTAACACTACCTGCGATGTCTACGAAGATCGTTCTTGTAGTCGTATGCACATGCTTCATAAGACTTCTGATCTCCTCTAGTGTGAACAGATTTCCTTCAACCAATAGTTTTTTAAGTTTGGGCAGTTCTCTAACCACATCAAGTCCCTTCAGTTGGTTATTTCTTAAGTCCAGCTCTTGAAGTCCTTCCAAACGTCTCATGCTTTCAGGCAGAGAGGAAAGTCTGTTGTCATTCACATATAAGCACGTCAGCTTTACCAATTGTAGAAAAATATCAGGTATCTCTGCCAAATTGTTGTGGCTCAGATTCAGCGTGTGAATATTTGCAACTGAAAGGTTCTGAAGGCTAACTAAAAGCATAGCTGCGAGAAAATCCAAGGGATTGCTGCCCAAATTTCTCTTACTCAGATCCACAGCTTTTTGTGTGACAGGCAACTCTCCGTCGATAACGAATCCGGCTGCAATTAAAAGATTCTCTACAAAAAAAATTTATTAGAAAAAAACTAAACACCAAATGACAACTCCATGTCAGTCTCCCCTCTACATCTTAAATAATGCTTACACCTATTACACAAAACGTCTTTCTTGACGAACTATTCCTGGAAACCTTACTTAACAGGTAAGAAGTGCTGGAGTCTCATATTAAGAGAACTAAACACAACTCAGATAAATTGATATAACTGGTATAGAGAACAGGAGCAACCTAGTTTTGACACTAAGAACAAAAAGTCATACTCCCTTTTTCTTCTCGCAAACATAAAAATATTTTTCTGCCATTCCCAGTTTGTTTTTTTTTTTCCGGGGGAATAATCACCGCTTGTTATCCAAGCACACGTTTCATAGAAACAGCCGCAACCACAACAGACATACAATTGTAACTCATCTACTTTTTTTCTCTTCTTTGATCTTAATAGAATTATAATTAACAACAGGTCTGCCAAATTATTTACGAATACTTGACTGCAGAAATAATGAGATTTCTGTCAAGGCCTATCCACTGAAAGTGTTCTCATTTCCATTAATGGAAAGAGGTGTTCGGCAATGGTCATTCTGCAGGAATGGCGTTAGTAGACTTTCTGAAGCTTTCGGCAATGCTTTTCGTTCAATGTCATGACGCAAGCTCCAAGCTATCAGCAAGTCTGGCTTCATGCAAGAGTGGAGTATGTGATATTTTACAAAGCATTCTCTATTACATTACAATATGTGGTTACATATTTTCTTCCACCTGTGTCGTCTTTGGCCGACGCATTCTAGGGAATTCTCCTTCAACCCAGGCACTCTTAATCCCCACGGCCGGTTGAATTGAAAGCACTCGTTGATACCGTGAGGATTAAGATTGCCGATTTTAACGATGTTTCGCCGATGCATAACTTTTTGCAAAAAGTAATGCATTGGTGAAACATTGAAAACTCTTGAACAAAAATTTATCTTTCAAATCAACACTCTTAATCCCCATGGTATCAATGAGCGCTTTTCATTCAACTAAGTTAGTCTTTTTTCTCGTCACCATATTCCTAGCAATAGCGTTGCTCCATTTTCTGCATAGAAACGCACATAAAACCTACAATTCCTCCAGTCGCTCTTACGAAGGGCTAGCGCTCGAAACGTCAGCTTTTAAGCTCTTTACGGTGGCCAACCTGCGTTATCAACTCACCTTACCCTTGAAGATCAATGAATAGCCAATTCTACTTACCTATTTCGAAGAAAAGGTCTACCACATTTTCGAATGTTAGTGTTGAAACTTCCATAAAAATCCTAACAAAATTGGTTCCAACTGCATAATCCTGAGCTTCCTGAAAGAACAAATTATAAAGTCGAAATCTCCCACCACAAAGTACCAGCGTGTGTGAGTTGCATTTCTGGAATAACTCCGAGTTAATTTTGGAATTAGAGGGAAAAGAAATGTAGTCTTGTGAAGCACTGTTGTCATCAGTAGTTACTGTCCTTTAGACAACCTGAGCGTTGGTCATCATCAGAATCCAAGGAGAGGCTTTGGTAAAATGATGTATTTGTGCCTCCTGAAAACTGATTCGTAACTTCTGCTGTGATGTCACTGACAGTGACACTCGCGTAACATGATTCCTTCGTTATTCATCACTTTTGATCTGTTGGTAAATTAACTCATTCTTTTCTGTCTTAAAATCAAAAAATGGTAAACAAGAATAGTTCATTCTAATAGGTCCGTTTGTTAATTCAATGTTATGAAAAAGTTCCTTGCGTAGTGCCGATGTCAGATTGTTGATGTCTGCATGGTGGGCATGGTGTTGTTGACTTTGGTTGAAACAGCGGAAGTCCGCTGGATGCAAAATGCCTGATATAGTTGATATACGCGGTTTTGGTTACAAATAAGATTTTAAAAGACACGTAGGAAGTTCCCATGTTTTGGCGTTAATACGGCAAGATACATATAGAGTCGCAGTGTAAATAGGCACTTACTAGAAATGCATTCTTTTCCATAAGATGCAACCCCATCAAACCCCGACCAATAAAATTACAAAATGATTTGCTACCAAGGACATAATAAGAAATCACACAAAAATCATCTAAAGAGCTTTCATAAACCACCTCACTTTACCATCCTTTCTCAATCATGATTGGCATCTTTCTCTACAAAAACCATGAAAAAAAAGCCTGTCCTAAGTGATTTCATGTTTAGCACATGTAGTACAATGGCATCATACAAACATGATCACATTACTAACCTTAAAGGACACCTCCCTGCTAGATTCAAAATCTACTTTATTCCCCACAAGAGCTACAAAGTCACATGGCCATGGCCAGACCTGTAGAGCGAGCCCGTCAACGAAATTCTTTGCTTCCTCAAATGAACTTCTCTTTGTTATGTCATACACAACAATAGCAGCGTGTTCCGGGTTATCAAAAAGATTAGTAAATTGGGGCAGAGTCGAAGTGGACAATAACATACCCAATGTTAAGCGAGACCACAGACGAACTGTTTTAACATGGTGGTGCACTAAAAGGACAAATGAACATAGATTAAACTTAGATCGCTGAACTATCAAAAAAATCATTTGATTACTTTTGTGCCCATTGTTAAATGTTTTTTACCTGTCGAAGGATGAAAGGGATAGAGAAAATTCCTCATATGTCTGCACAGCGAGACGAATTCGACATTTGGGGACAATCCTGTCTCTAAACAGAGGTAAAAAAAGAAAGAATTAAAGAACTTGAACTCAAATTATAATGAATACTGTATTTTCGACATATTTTTTGTGATGTGATGAAAAGTGTAAATGTCAGCAATAGAAATTACATACTTAAACCTAAAAAGCTTACAACTTTTGGAAGACATCAATCAACTATTGGCCTTTAATACACATTTCGCTAGTCATTGACGCAAAAAAATTCATTCATTTGTGCTTAGCGTTGGTTCAATAAAGTCACAGTACATTCATTAGCGCCATACTAAACTTCATTTAAGCGAAGTAAACTTCAATAGTGCGTTTAATATATGGATGAACATTCAATAGCTTCAAGGTGGAATCTATAGCACCTTTGAACATTCGCACACATGGAATGTAACGTCAATAGCACGAACTGACGAAGCCTAGCATTTATGGACAATCTATCGTTGAAAATGGACTTTCATTAGAACAATTTCCATAATCCCTAAAAATTCATTCGAGTAATTAACACAAACAATAATGTGAATGGAATAGTCGTTTTTTTAACACAGGCAAACAATAGCATGGTGCAAAACAACATTAACAAACATAGAGCAATCATTACAACTTGGAGAAAGAAAGCATGTTCGCCCACTCTGTAAAAAAAATAAAAGTGTACTGAGTTATTTATCCTTCGATTTGCTCTCTGTTTAGACAACGAGGCAGGTATGTCTGCATAAAACGGAGCCACTTTCCTCATTTAGCTGGGGTTATTGTTCCGACATTTCGCTGTCGCCTGGCTTCTTCGCGTGCGTTCATTTGTTGTTGCACGTCTGGGCGGCTAATATCTGTCTTAATGGCTGCCTCTAACGCACTGATACCTTGTTCTACAATGTTGAGGAAAGGACTTTATGGTGGCAGTTTCTTGAGTTCTGTAATTTGCCCGGAATCAGCGGGGTTATGGTGAGCAGGTGTACCATCATATATAAATATGACGTTTTCATTAGGGTCGAGGTTCAGCCTTGTCTGAGCCAAGAAGTCACTGAACCTCTGCGCATTCATACCACCGATAGTTGATGGATAAGATACGAGGTCATTGGTTAAAGAAATGGCAAGTGCCACGGTAACATTTCGCCCTCTTTGCCCGCAAACTTAGCTGTACGCCCTCTCTCCGGTTCTGGCTCTTCCTTGGTTTCTAGCAGTGAATATATTGTAGCCGCATTCATCGATGAAAACACAGTGGTTCACCACGGCATGCCTCATAAACCAACAAGGGTAGTCGTATCGTTTATGGATCACATTTGGTCGATTTCTCTCAGCTGGTAGAGGTCTCGCTTGTTTCACTCGATACAGCATACCTTGCAAGGTCCTCGAGACCGTGCGGTCGTGGATTTCATGCTTATTTCGCAAACGTTGGCGTAACTCTTGATTGATTTGTGACAGTGTCAGAAGGCAATTTTCATTGACGATGTCACTTAAAGATTCTTTCATTTCTTCATCGACGCGAACGTTGTTTTGTCCACCACGCGGTCTTTCTGCGATGCGTCCTTCTCTCGCATATCTTGCTACGATACCTCTTGCAGTTAATTTATTCACTCCTATCGTGTCCGACACTGCGAGGACAGGCGGTGTACGCACTCGGATTGCGTTGCATCATGATCGTAAAACGGAAAGCGAGTCATTTGCATCCTGTCGCGGTCGAGTGAACATCTCTGATGACCGCGAGGTAGCGTGAATAAACGTGGCGTGTAATGGGGATTCTTCCGAAAGTTAAAAAGTGTTATTCCTCCGTGAAAACTCGTTATTAGGGGGCAACTGTAGAGATTCAGAAAGAATCGAAACTGCAGCCTTACCCAAGAATCTATTCATTTAGCGGCGGTTAGACTCACAGCCGATGGCTGTGTGAATAATATCAAATAGACCTTTTTACAGTTCCCGGCGCCATATTGGATTAGTAACCGCGCACACACGATAACGAGGCTAGCGTTGACCCGGCGGTTCTTTCAAACAGCTGATCTGCTGATATTTCACGTTCTAATGCACTTTTCAATGCGATTTCTCCCTTCAAAATGGTTCTTTAATAAAACAGTATGGAAATTTCGTCATTAGATGACATCCAGAAACTCGAAGCGAAAGATCTCAGGAAGATTTTAAAATCTGATTCAAAATCGACGGGCGGAATTAGAGCCGACTTAGTGTCGAAAATTTATGCTTTGCTGATGTAACACGTCCTTCCATCGAGTAGTGGAGAAAACTGAGAACTTCTTACAGAAGTCCAGGACCTAGAACAAAACCAGAGCGACTTCAAATACGAAGCAACTATGGAGAGGATTTCAGCCCTTGGATGGTCGAGCGATCTCCGTAATTTACCCGAGATGAATTTCATTCAGCTTTACGAATACCCCGTTGTTTCACGAGAATATCGCCACATCGTGTTGAGAGGAACGCATTATAGGGAGTACCACAGAAGCTGTTCAGTATGGCTTAGAAAGCGGGGCAAAGGCTGCAGCCCTAAAGGTAGAGGAGATTTGTTATTGCTACTGTTGTTGATGTGGTACTTGTTGTTGTACCTTATCTTCAGCTAAAGTTGTTCCTATTTTGTTCACCAAGATGTCTTTTGGTTTGCCATTTGTACATTTTATCTTATGGGAAACTATACAATGGAGCCTGTAGAACCACTTGATTATAACCCTTGTTTCTATCAACCCATGAGGACAGCATTGAAAGAATCAGACCAAAATATTAGAAAATTTAAAAACTCCCAAAAGTGACTGATTCATGTAAATTCTCCCTATAATATCCAAACACTATCCAGCAAACAGATAATGATAATACTGAAAGTTACCTGGCAGAAGTTATCTTAATCTCACATCAAATTCTCATAACTTATTTACAAGTAAATGTGAAGCGACTAGAAAGGAGAATTAACAAACAGATCTTGGGTATTTAAGGGTTAAAGGAAGAGAACAGAAATGCTTCCTCTCAGCTACTGATCTCAACAATGCTAGTCCTTTACACACATTTAAGTTTCTGTCGGTGATAAACATTCTGTGAATTGATATTCCCATTCTTAGCACTCAGAGGCCTTCTGACACAAAGGTTTGCTATACTAGTTCTTATTGCATTGTGTTAACCAATGTTACGATGATATAATTTTGAGATGTAAAGAAGATACTTAAGAGAGGTGTCAGCATCCATCGAACAAATTTGAAATATTGTGGCAAGTGGCCCAAAATTCGTTTTCTCTCCTACTTTCATATTTTGTAGCCCAATATGTTCTAATAATTGTGGTGTAGTTTTTTGTGAAAATTTATTTTAGTTTTCGAGAAATAATTTTTTTCGTTCGACCGCTCAAATATGCAAATTTTCACCCTGAATATTACCCGAGTTGTGGGACCTCATGTAACGAATGTACTAGACCTACGGTATTTCTGCGAACATAATCCTTTGTTTTGTTATCTAAACTTAATCCCCTGTCGTCATTGAAGCTGGCAAAGAAATATGTATTTTTTGGTGAATATTTTTGTCCGACATACTTTTCCTATGTCGAAAAGTAGCATCAAAACAAAGACAGTTTTAACAATAACCGATATGACAGAATCTACTGAGCTTCAAGCTTTTAAAAGACCAAAGGATGGTTATAAAGTTACTGTAAAAATTTTCTTGTGTATTTGTGTTGTTCTATCGTGAGACGAACGCAAAGTCCGGTAAAAATTTACTTGATAGCGACTATGGA